TTAAAAATATTTTGCATTGGCTACATAAAAGATATGATGTAAGCATTTCTGGCTGTTTTTTTCCAGCAGGCTTGGAAGTTCTGAGTTGCAGAGGAGTGGGACCTTCTCCATTCACTTGGATGGGAATCAGTAAATTCTTTATTGACTCCAAGTAATCTGAGTGGCTGTGGCTTTTATGAACAACTGGTCAATTAGTATCTTTTCTTAAATGGCTTTGTGGTTTTAAAGGGCTAGAATCAGCAAGTTAAAATACTATTTCCTTCTTGTCAACTAAATGTAACATTAAATTGTAAATTAAAACATAGGGCTCAAGGTAGCACACTTTTTAAACTCACGGGAGCTCAGCAAAAAAACATTTCAAACCATGAAGACCTGGCTGAAGACACTGTTTGCCATCTTTCAAAAGGAGTTGGTAGGTGTATGTTTGCTCCTGTGTATGAGAAGAAACAAGGAAGCAAATGCTTTTTTTTTTCCCCCAGCTTGATCTGGATCATGCTGAGAGTGGGAAATAAATCAGCCAAAACCCATAAAGTTTGGCAGAAACCAAGATTTCCTTCTTCCAAAAAAATGCACACCCCTCTCTGTTACTTTGTCCAGCTTTTCACATGGCTCCTCAGTCCTACCTTTGTCCTACCTTCCTCCTTTTAACACGGATTCTGATTTATTTTTCAGGCACACAGGAATATAATGCTGCTTGTCTTCTTCAGGCTGGAGTGTGATACAACACAGCAGCTCTCTGTCTTGTTCATATCCCAGTCTGACAGTTCAGACCAAAATTTAATGTGCTTTTAAAAATGACTGTAGTTATTCTCTCAAAGTGATAGGAAGGGGATACTCCCAGTTTCAGGAAACCTAGAAAAAGGGTCTTTCCTATGCCATCCAATTCACTTTTTCCCCTCTCCCCCATGCCAGTCCCCCACAGGCCATCCTGGGAAGCAGACAATCTTTTCTTCCTCTTCCTGTCACTCTGATGGCAATTCAGCCCTTTGCAGTGGATGGCTGCCAGCAGGACAAAACATTATTCCCCCCAAAGGCCCCACCACAGACTCTTCCTCCTACTTTTCCAAGGCTGTGTCATTAGTTTTTCTCACTTTTATTAGTTTTTCTCACTTTTTAAAATTACAAGCACGTGCCCTGGGCCACCTTTCCTGTGGCCAGTGCAATCTGCTTAGGGCAGCAGATCCAAACTGCACCCTTGCTTTAGCATTTGATCTGCCCACACATAGTAGAATTATTGCTCATTAAACAGACAAGAGATGAACGTCTGGAACCTGACAGCCATTAATACAGACATCGTTAGTTCTGCTTAATCACTTCATTTTCCTTGATAACTGTATTATAAATATATATGAGTCTACAGTACTGGACTGGTAAGTGATCTGCTACAGTTGCTAATCAAATCTCTGTTACTTGTCGGCATTTAAAAAAGCTCCTTGACATTTTCAAATCTCTAGATGAGGTAGGAGAATACCACGACAAATCACAAAGGATGAGAAAAGTGAAGAATTATAAAGAATGGAGAGAGAGCATGGCTTCCCCACTGCTAAACAGAAAGGAAAACATTTTATCCCACAAATAAAAGGCCAATCTAGAAATGGAAAGATTTCCATTTGGTCTTACCAAGCCTGTTTGAAAACACATGATCCAGGGCTTTGTACACCTCTGAGGATGCAAATCAGCCAAAACCACAGAGGCCTGAAGTGAGAAGAACAGCACTGGAGTGAGCAAGAAGGAGGGATCCATGAGGCAGAGTGACACAAAATTCTCTTACAACAGCTCTGAAAACGCCCTGGGTGGTTTGTCTGACATTTCAAGTTAGATGTTTCACCTACCAACAGATTGACAGATCAAGTTGCTGCAACTTTATCAGCTATTAATTGTGTCTGGGCCAGGACAGCTCTTTGTAGTGCCCACCTGGGAATTCTAGACTTATTTGCTTAGCTAGTAAAGAGACAGGAAAGGGATTTTTAGCCTAAAAACATTGCAAAAGAATTAAATATCCTAGAGTATTTACTGCAAAATTTGACATTCTGGGGAGTTTCCAGACCAACTAAAAATTGATCCCACACCCCTATAGACTGAGCAGGACCCTCTGAGATGAGAGCACCACAGTGCAACACACCAGCCACTGTGCAATAAGAAACAAACTCACTTCTTTTTCTCTTTTGTCTTTGTAATGAGAATAATACTGTTTTTTCTTGTTAGAAAGTGCAATGTAAATGGCATAAATAAAGTAGTTAACATGAAAACAATTAAAACAAAAATCCATGTTGCAGAGTAGCTGTGAAAGTTAAGGGGCATTATGGTTCAGTCCTGTGGTGTAGAATTTGCAATACTGCAAATCCCATAAGAACACTTGCTCACACATCCCATGGCACCACCCCCTCATCCCCCCTAAAAAGCCCAAGAAGAAAGCTGTACCCTTTCTGGGGGAGGAGGGATGATGTGGAGCACGCAGTGGCTGGTTTGCTCTGATTAGTGCTAACACCAGCCAGGAGCACGAGTTTGCATCCCATCCTGCCTCTCGTTACTGGAGCACACAACCTCCTAACCTCCACCCCAGAAAGTGATATCATTGCATGAATTAATCATCTGAGCAATTAATGGCAGCAAAGCGACCTCAGGTTTCCAGCACGGTGTCTGGCACCGGTGAATTGGCCATGACGTGAGCTTCCCTGGGGATTTGCTGGCGCTGTGCCCGTTCCGAGCTCCCCGTGGACTCGGAGGGCAGCAGCAAACAATGCAGGCACCCAGCCGGCAGCGACTCTGCCAGCAGCACCGGGCTGCTGCTGCTGCTGCTGCTGCTGCTGCTGCTGCTGCTGCTGCTGCAGCCTCAGGGGATGCTCCTCCTGCCAAATCCCTGCGGGCATCTCCCGGGGAAGGTGCGCTTCCCAAAACCAGCAAGAGCAGAGGATGTGCAGAGAGAGGGACTGTCCAGGAGCAACGAGTATCTGCCTACTTTTTGGTAGGGTGAACCTCCTGCTCTGCACCTGGGAGCAGTGCAGCCTTTCGTAGTGTGTGAGTAAGCAAGTTATTCGACTATTCCTCTGTTTTGGGGCAAATTGAAAGCATTTTGTTATACTGGGGAGTTTATTCTTAGATGGCCAGGGTTGTTTTTTTCATTTCTTCAATGACTCTGTTACTGCAAGTGCTTTGAAAGCTGGAGTCAAACACAACTATGACCATATGCCCTGTGTTAGATCCATTTTTTTAGTCAGCCGTTCAGGTGAGATGAGGAGAGCCTGCCTCTATCCCACAGGAATCTGCAATGTTTCCTTTTTTTCATCACCCAATACAAATAACTTCTGCAAGGTGGAACCTTTCCATACTTTTACCAGGTGAGTGTCCTTGGCCCTGCTTGGGGTGCATGCACACGCTGTGAGACAGAGGGGTCAGACTCAGCCCACCACTCAGAGGAGCACAACCCCAGGACTCCAGGAGATGCCATGGGCAGAGTGTGGACATGAGTAGGGAGGTGCTGTCTGATGGGGGTGTCAGTCATTTTCTAAACCTTCAGGCCATGTGAGAAAACCACAGAAAAGAAAGAAGCTTGAGTAGAGGAAAGCTGACCCGTGATGTAAGAAATTTGGTGTCAGGAAGGAAGGAGAACCTATTTGGGCAAAAGGGTTTGGCTAATCCAAGATAAGGCATTTTGTAGCTTCTCCCTTTGGGGTTTTCTGCCTTCTCTTTTTGGAGACAGCCTCTGGCTGCTGCTTTCTGCTCAAGCAGAAAAAGCATATCTCCTTCCACACTCCTCATAAGAATGAGTTTCCAACAGAGATGAGATATCCACAGGTGAGCAACGTCTTAGTCTCAGCAACACTTTCCTCTGGATTCCAGCTTGAAAAGAATGAGGTGGTGAACCCCTATGAGAAGCAGCTAAAAATTTTAGTTACAATGACCTGTGACCCCTGCTCCAGGTGGCGACCGGAATAAGCTTACCCCAAATTCAGGACAGCCTTGTCTCACACCCTTGCAAAGATGTAAGCAGAAGAAGTGTGATTATAACATCACTGCAAAGGACACTCACTGTCTGCACGGCTTAATGCCACTTGCCACGTTTGTAATCCATCTTCCCCCACCTGCCCTGTCTGTTCAGCAGTCACTTGTTATCAGAGCAAAGGCAGTGAAACAAAAGGAAGGGCAGAGGCTAATTTGCTTGATGTAGTCCTGTTCTTCCAGATGATGTCAATTTATGGGCTCTACTCTGATGCTCAGAGATGTTCACATTTGCATCATTAAAAGGGAAATAACAAATATGTGGAAGTAACTCAATAAGCTACCACTTTAGCTGCAGGCACAGCAGGCAGGATGGTTTGAGCATCAGTTTCCCTAACCAGGCACGTTCCCTGTCCCGATTCCCAGCCCATCTCCCCCTTGCTTTCCAGGTGTAGCCAGCTCAGCAGAGAGGATTAATCCACTTCCGTACTCACTTGCATTCTCCATGTTAGAGAATCTGATTACACAGATTGCCTGCAATTTATCTCTACCTGCGACACCTAATGCTCCAGTCTGATCTCCTCTTTCTCATTTTAACATCTCACTGCAGATCCAGTACATACACAGACAGATGCACATACATTTGCTCTGTTTTTTTTGCCAACAGCTTATTAAGAGCCTTGGCATTTTCATTTTCAATCCAACCAGAAAGCACTACTGTTTTCCCCACTCTGCCCATGAGGTAATTCCTCCCTTTGGACTCCCCTCATTACATTTATACTGCACAGGCTCCGTGCACTGCTGCTGGATCCACACAAACCACAGGAATCTCTGCACAGACACGCTCGGTGAGCATGCAGCGTTATAGAGCCCTGCAGCACATATAAAGACAAAGGCACAGGCTACATGCACTGAGCAAGTGCCACCACATGCATTCCTGCTCCCTCCAAACCCTGCAGGAAAACATTGCCTGCAGAGTGCTTTGCTATGAACAAAACCAGCCTTTCAGCACAGGGTCAGTGTATGATCCAGGCAAATCCCTTTCCCACCCGCTCCCTTACCTTTCCTTTCCTTATTCTGCTAATCCAGGGGCCCTGGACCGATTGCTTTTCCCTCCTGCACACAAACTGCCAGTCCGTCCTGCTTCACATTCACAGCACACCAGCAGGATTCACCGTCATCCCATTCTGCCGGATCCTTATCACCCTATTGGCCAATGCCAGACAGTAAATTCAATTAGGCTCCTCCTTATAACTATATTATCACAGGAACAGGAATGAATAATTTAGTAAAACAACAAGGGTGTGCAGGCTCTGGTGTCACAGACTTCACCCCCACTGTCAGGCTTTTATCAGAAAGGTGGGTAAAAAAAAACCAGAATCTCTCTGTCACTCCTGAAAAGGAGACCTTAGATTACCCACTTGTATTCCCCATTCCATCCCTCTTGTCCTCCTCCCCCTAAGCCATGGCATTCCCATTTTATTGTTGCACCTCCTTCCTCAGCCCATAATAGAGTATTTCCCTTGTGAATGGTCACTACTGTCTCAGTGGATGCAGAGATTTCTGTCCAGGCAAAGCGATACTGCAGAGCATCAAACACTTTGCATCTTAGCTGAATGTAATATGTGAGAAAAGAATGAAACTGTTCTGGAGAAGGGAGTGACAAGACAAGCAGATCACAGGGAAAAGGAAGAGTCTGCCTTGTATCACTGTATCCTCTGTAAAGCAACTCTGCTGTTATCCCATCCGTTCAGACACCCAGAGGATGCAAGTACATGGTTCCTGAGAGAGAAAGGTTCACAGATGCACTGCCCAGGGACTGTGATTTCACAAGCCTGCTGTGGGAGTTTGGATCCCCACATAAAAAAACCCACTCTAAAATGGCAGTTTTCCCCCAAACCAAATGACTAAAGTGTTCTGTTTTGGCACTTTTTTTTCCTGACCAGAAATTTCTAGAGACAACTATCTATATTTGCATTTCCTAAGAAGTTGTTGGTCCCAAAACGAATACTGCTGTTTTTCCTCAGGTGATGCTTTGTTTGAAGAGTTACAGAGCATTGCAGATTCTCTCAACAGGGTCACCACTATCTAAATCATGCCTCAGACCACTTTGATTGCCTAAAGAGTTTTATTTTATGGGAGGAATAGTGGAAATGCAGGAGCTCAGCAGGGCAACCCTTTGGTATTCTCAGAACAGACCAAGCAGCCAACAGGGGTTTTTAATGACCATTCACAGCAATATTGAAAGCTACTGCTAATACATGCTGATGTGTACAGTATTAACAAAGAGATGCGTCATTCCACCATTATTGAAAAATTAACAGGCAGGATGAAGCTGTCATTCTTCTTCCCTTAGAGTCCAAGAACACCCTTTACACTCTGTTTTCCATATGCTAATATTTACTCTGTAGAGTCTATATATCTACTATCACAATGATGAGAGGTTCAAATTTGCACTAGAGCCCAAAGCAACTCAAGCAACTCCTACACCAGCTCTTGGTTTGGCTCCTCTCCCAGGCCTGGCGGGCTGGGCAGCCTCAGCTCTGCCTCCAGAGGCAACAGGGACACCAGGGTGAAGTCAAGCCCAAGCACCAGCAAAGATGCAAAGGCAGTTCACTGGTGACAGACCAGAAGTTTTCCTAAAGGCAGTGCCTTTCCTTAGACATTGCCTTCCCATTGAAAGACTAGCAGGAAGCTGGGACAATGCATGGGGGTTGCCAGCTCCTAAATGGCTGGGCTATCTACCTCCATCTCAGTCCCAAAGCAGGATCCAGCCATGCTGCCTTCCCTGGGAGAACTGAGTACAGGATCAGTGGATGCCTCTGCCCTCCTCACCAAGTTCAAAGTGATCTAAAGAGTGAAAAGGTAACAGTCTCAACTAAGCTTTTGTCTTTCTCTGTTATGGACTTCTTTGCCACAAAAAGGGACAAAACTGCCCTCATGCTCCTGCAGTTTCTTCACTTCTGAAGAATGGCAGCTGCTCTTTTCCTCCTCCTTGTTCCCTTGCAGCCATCCAAACTTTTTTCCTGTGTTAAAGGAAAGCCTGAATTATGCACTTGGTGGTAGCTTCAGAGCAATTAAACTAAGCCATGTGGCAAGTTGCCCAGTGTCACTACCAAAGCTCAGGATGTTTTAGCATCATTTGTTGAGGAGCTTTTACATGATGCTTACTTAAACCACAAAAAGAGAGCAAATTAGGCTGTTGCCATGACAACTAGGGAATCTACTCAAAATTCAGGAGATGCTGGGGAGGGGGGAAGAGCCCTTCAGTGGAGATCTCTGCATCATGAATATGGCCCTTGGTTATCAAATTCCTTTCAAGTTAATTCCTAGCATCAAAGCCTCCCTGACAAAGGCTTTAATAATTGGGAGCAAAGCTTGGCTAAAGAGGGAACAAACCAGCCCTCCCAGCACTAATGTGAATTTCATTCTGCTGTGAGGTGCTCAGCTGTGTGGTCCACAGAGCAGTCACAGAGGGGGCAGCCCTGCCACAGGAGCACATATGCAGCAGGGTGCAGGAAGGGGCAGGGGCGTCACTGCAGGCAGGCACTGGAGAGACAGACAGACGGACAGACAGACAGACAGACAGACAGACCCTGAATCTGTGCTGCAATTAAAAGGAGAGACAACTTCCACAGGGGAGAGGGAGAGAAGGAAGAAGGGTCCTCGCCACCTCTGGTGGAAACCCTCTGGAAGTTGAAACAAGCTGAGCAAAGTCTTTTGCTAACCCCAAGGAATGAATTAAAGCAAATAAGAGAAAAAAACTGCAGGATCAATGGTGTCAGGAGAATCTGACAAACTAAACAAAGGGAAGACAGGCTACTACACTACAGTTCTTCTGAAGGAATTAAATCCTTGGTAGGATTGTTGAATATTTTCTATCAAAGCTGGCTCTCTTTCTAATTTTTCCTTTATTTTAGCTGAATATTTTTTCTTTGCGTGCCTTCTAAGAAAATCACTGTTTTAACAGAAAATTTTCAGTGAAGTCTTCTGGTTCTCAATTGCAATAGCTGAGGTATTCTTGGCTGAAAACAAAGTACATTATTTTGGAAAAATTCCAGACAGCTTTGTAGTTTTCATAGAAGCTCTCTCCTTCCCCATAATTATTTTTGATCGGTCAGTTTATTGCTAGTGGAAGTTTTGGTATTCTCCTTTGAAATGATGCCTTACTGGGCATAAGCCCCTTTTGGAGGGTAGCAGCAGTAAGTGGGAGCAGATCCAAAATTAGGGAAATTTAGGCACTTGGACAAATGAAGTTAAATTGCAAAAGTTTCTTGTCCTCTCTTTTTATCTCCAGATGAAGAACTGTGTTTAGCATGAAAAGCAGAAGCAATTGAGAAATTTAAGGATAGATAAATGATTGTATTGTAGTGAGCATTACAGTCCAAACAGGATACTTGCCAAGCAAAAACACACATACTACAGAGATCCACAAGTTCAAGAAATTTTGAAAAAAACCCCCTGTTTATAAAAACGATGCATTTTCATTATACAAGTGTTCCCATACCTGATATTCAGTTCATCTTTTGAGCCCCAAAATTCATTGGAAGTCTGCCTTACTTTGAATGTTGTGGCATTATTTCAACATCTTGAGTCAGTATTGGTCTTGGGGTCTTCTTCCCAGTGCCGGGGTGTCCACATGCACAAGTTGCTGAGAGTGTCCAACACCTAATCGATTATAACTGACCAGAAAACAAGGCTTTAATTCATTATCTACTTGCAAATGAGACTGGCTGTTCCTTTTCCTGCTCCCTCCCTGCCATTTTGCCAAAGCCTTGCACAAAACACTTATTAGGTAATCCCACTGTAGCAGCAGCAGTAGGCTGGGCTGCACACAAGCCAGGCAGGCTTGTTTTGGACCCACAATACATGGCAGAGACCAGGTTGACGTGGGCTTCTTTTTCATATTGTGACAGCCACTTTAACAGATGTCAATTTGGCAGACGTGCTCGTGAGATGGCAACAGCAGAGGCATTCAAGGGGCAAGTACAGCAGAAATAAATCTGAGGAACCTGAGAAACAGAGAACAGGGTGATAGGAAGAAAAGAGCAATGCATATCAAAGAGGAATGGCTCCTTAGAAGTATCTGGGATGTTATTTTCTGAAGTGGGACAAGTTGAATTTCTTTAATCTAGTCAGATTGAGGCATTATTCTGAGGCTTCAATGCTACTGCATATCTGTACGGTGGTCTCTATAAAAAGCATATTACCATCCCACTGAAAACATGTTTTATTATCCTAAACATGTCCTTAATTAAAATGGTTTTTCATTCTTCAGCAATAGTGACTTATTCAAACAAACTTTTCAAGAACTTCTAGGTATCATCTCTCCATCCAGGGAAAGAAAAGTGAACAATTTTTCTCCTGGTATTCTTTACTTACTTCAGGGAGTAAAGGTGAGGAGCAGCTGAGGGAGCTGGGGTTGCTTTGCCTGGGGGAAAGGAGGCTCAAGGGAGACCTCATCACTCTCCACAAGCACCTGAAAGGGGGCTGGTCACTTCTCACAAGTGTCTCAATAGCACAAAAGGAAACTAGCTCAAGCTGCATGCACTAGAGGAGCTTTAGATTGGCTATTAGGAAAAAAAATCCTCACTGAAAGGGTTGTCAAGCATTGGAACACACTGCCCAAGGAAGTGATTGAGTCACCACCCCTGGAGGTATTTAAAATACATGTACATGTGGTTCTTAGGGACACAGTTCAATGGTAGACTTGGCAGTGTTAGGCTAATGGCTGGAATTGATCCTAGAGGCCTTTTCAAACCCAAATGATCCTACGATTCCATGATTCACTAAAATGTTTCTGTAATTAGCTTATTCATTGCAGTGACTTCTTGCTATCTCAAAGACAATAGCAATGAGGCCTTTAAAAGCCATGTTTTATCCCACTCTGCTATTCTTACACCAGAAAGCACAAATATAATTTTTTGAGGCTCTGTGAGTACAAATCTATTTAATAGCTTTAATCATCTTTAAAAATACATCACATTTTCACCAAGTCCTGTGCCATACTTTGCAAAGCGTCATTTCTAGGCTGTTTTCCAAGGCAAAAATAGTGTTCCTGTTCACTGATGGTATGGATTTTCCCCTCCCAAAGATCAGAAAAGAGAGAGACCTGTCCTAACTCCATGTCAGCATAGGCAATATGCCAAAGGTTATAGCACCCATTTAGGA